TCAAAAAAATGAATGCAAAATTCTATGCCACACTCCATATATATCGATTCGTTATTTCTAGTACAGTTAAATTTTAATTATTTTTAGCAATCATGCCTTCTTATATGCCTGCTGACATTTTAGAAATACTGACTTTAGACTCTTGACTGAATGTAATAATTTCTTAATTTTATTGATAACATGAGTCAACAAAACAGCAGAAATTATATTTTATTTCTTTATGGAATCTGGTTTTTTCATTTGAAAGGAGCAACAAAAATGAGCAATAATAACAGTGAACATTATTTTTTATTTATTAAAAATAGAATTTTAAAATAAGTACTAAAATGGTTCTTTATGGCAGATAAATATATAATATTCTTAATATTTAAAATAACTCTTTTAAGTCAAATTGCCTAAGGATATATGGGCACAGATAATTTATAAATGAAGAAATCAAAATAGTCAATAAACTTATGAAAAGATGTTCAACCACATTAGAAAAGAAGTACAAATGAAAGCCACTTGCTAACATTTTTTGTGTGTTTGCCTGCCACACAGAGACACACACACATGCGCGTGCGGCAGGCATAGATATTAATTTATTGTATTTTATTATATATTATAGTATGTATGTGTAGATATATTTCACATGCATATATAAATGAAAAGATAACATGTAACTTGAGGCTGCATCAAATTAGGCATACTTATTATATACCACTGGAGGTGCAGCGGGGTCTGTTAATTTGCTCATATTTTCTAGGAGGGCAGAGTTCCAACATAGATGTTTGTCAATCGACTTGAGAACTTTCACCATATATATCTATGTGAAAAGGGTTTATAAAGTACTCTATGCTCTTGTCCCAAATTTGGACAGATAATATTATGCATGCATAGGCATAAAGATAAGGACTTAGAAGAATATGTATCAGGGTGCGTTGAGTAGTTTTGAATGGGTAGAGATTATTGGTATTCTTTTTTTTTTGAGTTGGAGTCTCACTCTGTTGCCCAGACTGGAGTGCAGTGGCCACTCCTGGCCACCGCAGCCTCGACCTGCTGGGCTCCGGCGATTCCTTCCGCCTCAGCCTTCCAAGTAGCCGGAATTACAGGCATGCGCTACCACGCCCGACTGCTTTTTTTATTTATTGTAGAGATGAGGTCTTGCTGCCCAGGCGGGTCTCAAACCCGTGGGCTCAGGCAATCCACTCACCTCAGCCTTTGTTTTTAACTTTATTTTCAGTGTTCTCAGACATTTCTGATAGGCATACATTGCTTTTGTAATGGCAAAAGATGACTTAAAATATTAATAAAGTATTTTAAAAAAATTCTCAGAACCTTCAGGTTACAAAGGTAGAAATGTGAGAGACAAAAACAAGGTGAGAATTGATGATTACTGTTAACTTTATATAAATGAATGCTTCAAATAGAAATCCCCAAAGGTCCAGAGTTGATATAGTGTTAACAAGTACGATAATTAGTGTAGTTATCAATATATACCATCTTCATCTTCTTTTTTGAGCTCTCTTACATTTCTGTTTGCTTTGTTCTTTACTCTTTTTTCAAATATTTTTCCTTCCCTCATGCTTGTAAATCTTCCAAATCTTCAGTGACACCACATGCATTTTGTGTGACATCTAGTGCTGAAACAGTTCTAACCTTTTCTAGTGTTTGTTTAGCACCAGGTCTTTAATTGATTCTCCAACAAAGATCTATTGAGCAGCCATTAGTAGCCCCTTGGCACTTCAATCTTCTGACCACAAGAAGTTTTTAATAATTGTTGTGTCAGTCTCCTTGGTCTGTGGAATTATTATCTGAGTGGAGCAATCTTGTTAAATTGCTTTTTATAGATATTTTTTGTCAGCCAGCTCTTTAAGAATGTACCTGTTCTTCAAGCCTTGTATTAATTTTCTTAATTAAAATTAAGAAATTTTAAAAAGCATTATTTTTGACAAGGACATTATTATGTTTGGAAGAGTTTTATAACTTTCTGATTTGATTCAAAATCTCTATCATGTTCATAAATCTTGGTAATTGACTCTGCACTGTAGTCAGACTTCTTTATGGTGTATTCTTTAATTATTAGCATGGGAAAGAATGGGAGAAAAGAGAAGGAGAAACATGTGACTTTTTTTCTCAACTGTGTTATTTTCCTAATTCACATTTTTAGAAGTCTAAATGTATTCCAGACATGGAGAAAGTGTTTTAATTCTGGCAGCCATTAGTAGCACATTGGCACTTCAGACTCAGCTGCCCAGAAGGCTGCCAGTATACTGTTTAAAGTTTTTATGCCTTAAGGAACAGCTGTGCTTTACAACGGCATTTGGTTTCAGATTTTACATTTTATCTGAAATACATATATATGATTCAATATGTTAACTTTCAGGTAGCTGGAAATCCTGAACTCATTTTTATGCAGTACATTACAAGTAAGATGTATTGGCCAAACCCAAGACAATTTCACAGTGAAAGAGGGTGTTGTTAATAATTACAGTTGGTCGACAGGTGTAGACTGGGCTATAATTTTCATTGGCTCTATGTAAACTCCAGTTCAGATTATTCAAAAGGTTTAGCGTTCTTAACAACATCACCACATCTGCGAAAACATATCATTTATTTATAACAAGCCACGTCCAAACTCAGTGACATAAAACCATTACTGTTTTATCAGTGTTTATGCTTCTGTGGGTTGGTAGTTGAGACTGGGATGGCTAGGAAAGCCTAGCACAACTCAACCTTTCTCCACATCAGTTGTCATTCTTCACACATTGTTCACATTCCCCATGCAAAATATGCTCATCTCTCTCCTAGGATTTAAAAAATTTCATTCCATTAATAGCAGCAGGCACAAAGTTCAAGATTCTGTCACTAAGTCAGGTCTAAGTGCAAGTAAGGCTTCTTGGGTTTTGCTCCTTGGTGACGTGTTCCCGCACACCAAACATATCTTAGTGATGCAGGGACAGAATAACCACAGTCAACATTCTCGTTCAGAACTGGAGAAACAGGAATCACATGGCTCCTAGTGGTCCACAGCAATTCTGAATTTCCACAGGACACGTGTTACCAGGCCACCTGCTTTTGGGGAGTAGGGAATATTCTGTTTCCTCAAAGTAGTTCTGCAGCTCATTGTTCTTTTAGGCTTTTGGTTCCATCCTCTGGGCTCTTGGCCCTATCCTCTGAGACTGCCTTCCTTTTTCATAAGAAATGGTCTATGTTAGCCTCTGAATAACTCCCGCAGCCTGCTTCCTGCCTATGGAAAGTTGGGAGACCAGAGAAGTATTTTTATTTTGAAGTGTCTCTGTCCTAATTAATCTAAGTCAGCACCGCATCCTTAAAAACTCTTTAGGCTTTCTCTATCTCAGATTATAGTCTACTCAGTTAGACAACAACCTCATTCACAATTCTTTTTAAAACAGATCTTCTTCCTATGTTGCATGTCAGTGCTGTGGGAGCAGTTTCTCTTGTGTAGCCAAGATGGTGTGTTTGGCTTCGATTGGAATAATTCAGAGGTTTTCAAAAAAGGTATTCCAACCGCACATTTAATTTGATCTTTGATTGCAGATCTTATTTTGCTGTGGACATCTTTTAGCAGCAAGTCCTGTGTTCTTTATATTCCCTTGACATTGTGCTCACCCTGAACTTTTCCTTCTTCCACTCCTCTCTGTTGTGCCCTTAACATACAGCCCAGAGAAGCACTTCTGCCTTCTGCCTGGAAATCTCCTTAGCCAGATTCATAAGTTCATTGATATTTCTCTTTTCCAGGTTACTGAAGGAGACAATTTAGTCATTTGTTTCACTATTATGTGACATAGGTCAACATTTTCTTTGCAGCCTGTTAAACCAGTTAACCTGTTTAAATCTCTTTCAGCAAAATTTTGTAATTTCTACTGTACAGGCCTTACACATATTTTGTTAACTATTTCTCTATGAATTGTACATTTTGGAATGCTATTGTAAATGGAGTTGTGTATGTTATTTCATTTTTAACTGCCCACTGATTTGTATATATTAACCTTATATCCTATGATTATGTTAGGGTCACATACTTTTGCTAGTGGGATTTTTTTGGGGGTAGATTCCTTAGTATTTTCTGTGTATGCGATTGTGTGCACAAATAAAAACAGTTTTGCTTATTTTATTTCCTATCTGCATTTCCTTTTTTTTCCCCCTTGAATTGTTGTAATAGCTAGTTTCCAGTGTAGAGTTGACTAGAAATGGTGAGGGTAGATATTCTTGTCTGGTTCCCTAACTTGAGTGAAGAACATTCAGTCTTTCACTGTTAAATATGCTGTTAGCTGTGGGTTTTCATAGATGTCCTTTATTGGTTTGAGGAAGTTCCTTTCTGCTCCTAGTTTTTACTAAGAGCTTTAGTTATGAATGGGTACATTTTACTGTAAATGAATTATATCTCAATTTAAAATAGATTTAAAAAATATATTACATAATATATATGCTGAAACTTGCACAGAGCATTATTGTTTCAGATATATCAGTTTAAGAAACAAACTGTATAAAGTTAAAAAATAAAACCTAAGAACAACTTAGTCAAAGCTAAAACATTTAAAGTCTGTCTACTATCATATTAGAGGTATAATCAAAATGTTGCTTGAAGATTTTGTTTTTGGAGATAGAAGCTAAGTCTGAGAAAGGAAGTTATATCTTTCCATTTCTTAAGCTAATATAATAATTCACAACTCAGTATTACTTTTCTGTGTGATAAACGTTGCTTGTAAAATATGAATACAACTTTTCCAATGAGCACAACTGAGAGATTTTACTTTCTTTTCTTTTCCTCAGAGTAACCCAACATGTTTTTAACATTTAGTAATTATTTTTTATTTGCAGAATAAATGCTGTAGATATATCATGTGTAATATTGAATAACTCTGTAGGTTAATTATGAATCAGTGTGGCAAGGCTTATTTCTGTTTCTATCCTTTTTATACAGATGAGAAAACTGAGGCACAGAATAAGTGAATTGCTTATAATTCTTTGTTTATGGTAACTTTTTAAAAAAATAGGAGCTACTTAAAGATCCGTTCTACATTGGACTTCGGCAGAGAAGAATAAGAGGTTCTGAATATGATGATTTCTTGGATGAATTCATGATGGCCGTTTCTTCCAAGTATGTATAATCTTTATTTACTCTTTATTTGAGTTGGATTTCAGAAATCTAAAGATAACCTACCATGATAAACTATGAAAAGTCCCAAGAGCGATGCAATGTGGCTTAATAATTAGAAGTGATTTGAATGAAAAAATATAAATATCTTTCCTGTTCATCTATCCTTACCTGTTAGTGGCCAGTTGGTGATGTCATGTGCCTGTCCCCCAGAATATGATCTCTGTTGCTATCCCTGAAGATACTTTTTTCTTACAAGAATTCCTAGAGCCTGTGACTATGGAAATGCATGACTACGATGGATGAGGCAGTGAATGGCCAGAGACTGAACTACTGGGGCCGGGCTGTTTGTGTCTATTGGCCATCTACACCTTCTTTCTGGCCGATGATAAGAGTCTGATCTTTAGGCCTCTTTGTGACTGGTGTCTGATCCTTTTGTGACAGGAAAAGCAGGAAGAGGTGGGAACTTAGCGTGAGTTGGTGCAATCCTCAAGGGTCCAGAATGAAACAAGGACCAGGGTATCCAATTACAATCCCCGAGTCACTGTTTAAATCTGCAGTGTTTGATAAAAATGCAGTACTACAAAGGTTGAGTGTCTGTTATCTGAAATGCCTGGAACCAGAAGTGTGTCTATAGATTTTGAAATATCTGCTTATACCTAATGAGATGAGACCTATGTCTAGATACAAAATTTATTTATGTTTCTTTTAAAGCTTCTACGCATAGCCTGAAGGTAGTGTAATACAATATTTTTAATTTGTGCGTGAAACAAGGTTTGTGTACATTGAACCATTAGAAAGCAAAGGTGTCATTATCTCAGCTGCATGTGTGAACAGTCTGTGGTTATTTGACATCAGCATCATTCCTGACTCTGAATTTACATGCTGTTGATAAGCAATCATTTTCTTACACTTATTCACATGTAAGTACTTAACAGTAAAAAATATGATATACTATTACTACACTGGAAAAAAATATGTTGATAATAACTTGTGGCATCATGTTGGTGCTCAAAAAGTTTCAGATTTTGGAGTGTTTTGGATTTCATATTAGGTTTGCTTAACCTGTGTTTTCATCTACTTAGATGAAAATTCTAGTTAGCATTTGACTGTGGGCCAAATGTTATTGTAAAAATTTCTATTTTTTTCTCCTTTAAAAAACAGATTTCCACCATAATTTAGTAATATATTCTAAGAGAATTTTATCATACTGACAGTCATCTCCTTTGTTATTGAATAGCCACAGAAATCATGTACTATTTAAAAACATATATGTTGTCTTGGTTTTTTGTAGAAAAAAACTCATCACTAGGCTCAACTGTAACTAGAGAATACTTCTGGTTTCTCTGTATTATATAGTTTATTTTTAAGAAGTTGTATCCAACAGCAGAAAGTGCTTTCATCAGCTTGCACAATATTTAGAATATATTTAATCTCTCATCTCCAAGGTTTTAGTGGAGAATTTATTTTTCAATTAGTATGGACTGTGTTTTAGAAACACATGCTTGCCTTGTTTATTGTTATTATTTAACCCATTTAATTAAGCTGTTCTTATTTAAAGAAATAGTTGAGAAACTCTGCAGTTTAATTTCAAGATTGCATCATACAATTAATCACTAGTAGTTTTTCATATTTAATTTTAAGTGGCTTGGTGGAAATCTTATGTAAAGTTTTAAAATTATCTATAACTTTCTGAGTAGCAATATTAATCAAGAAATTGTGTAAAATAATACCATGAGGCTATATAAAAGAAAAGGAAATAAAGTCTATCTAAATAAGACAACTGTAACATACTTACAAAGGAACTGTTAAACAAGTGAGAAGAAATTATTATTATTTGGAACCAATGAAATGCTTTCTGGGGAAAATAAGATATAAGCTACTTTTGAATGTTCTACGTCAATCCAGAATCAGAAAAACCAACTTTTTTAAGTGTGGAGTTGAGGGATTGCCTAAAAATCTTTAATAAGAATATGGGGATTGCCAGAAGACAATGATAATTTTATTTTATTATTATTTTTTTGAGTCAGGGTCTCACTTTGTTGCCTAGGCTGGAGTGCAGTGGCATGATCATGGCTCACCACAGCTTCAGCCTCCTGGGCTCAGGCATTCCTTCTGCCTCAGCCTCCTGTGCAGCTGAGACTACAGTCATATGCCACCATACCTGGCTATTTATTTATTTATTTATTTGTAGAGATGAGGTCTTGCTATGTTGCCCAGGCTGGTCTTGAGCTTCTGGACTCAACCAGTCCTCCCACTTCATCCTACCAAAAGTGCTGAGATTACAGGTATGAGCCCAATAATTTTAAATGTAGAGGGCACCTGTGGTATGATCCTATAGATAATGGTTTTCTTCCAGATTCCTGACTCAGAACTTCCATACCCCTTGTTACAGTCTTTTGTTACAATGTTGAGTGTGTTAGGCCTCAGGAACAAGTCTCCTAGACTTCCTCCTACCCCAAGGCAGACCTCTGGTCTTCCCCACCTTTCTGTTTATGGGTCTATAGACTTTCCTGCCTTATACACCGGGAAGGGGTGTTGATGTCATGAAGCTGCCATAAAAACTCAAGAGAACCGTGTTTGTGGAGCTTCCAGATAGCTGAACACGTGGAAGTTCCTGGAGGGTGGTGCCCAGAGAGGCCATGGAAGTTCCAAGCCCCTTTCCCCAGACCTCATCCTACACATCTCTTCAATATCCTTTGCAATATCCTTTATAATAAGCCAGTAAATGTGTTTCCCTGAATTCTGTGAGCCACTTCTGCAAGTTAACTGAACTCAAGGGGGGTGGGAGCTGTGGAAATCCTAACTTGAAGCCAGTTGATCAGAAGTTCTGGAGGCCTGAACCTGCGACTGGTGTCTGGGTTGGGGGCAGCCTTGCGGTAGGTAGTCTCACACTGCCCTGTGGTAGGTAGTGTGAGAATTGAATTGGAGGACACCCAGCTGGAGTCTGCTGCTTACTGGTGGGGAGAAGCCCCCACATTTGGTCACAGAAGGTCTTCTTCCATGTTGATGTTTGTTGTGGTGTGAGAGCAGAGGGAGGAGCCCTGCTTGGGAGAGTTTTATCCCTGAAAAAGACCTGTAAATCCCGAGTTCTACTTCTGGTCTCTTCCCAGGGAAAAATGCCAGCAACTTTTAAGACATACTTTTGGCATGACATTCTTTGGGAAAAATTTCTGTAAGTGAAGCCGATGCTACTCAATTAAATTGTAAAGTAGTTCTGGTGATAAGCCCAAGATTTAAGTTAAACAAATTTCTGATGGGGAATGGCTATTGCAGGTTATTCAGAGATCAGACTCTGGGATGGAGTTTATTAGAACGTGCCTTTGGGATCAACCCCTATGGAAGGGAGGGGACAGAAATAGGGGTGGATAAAGAAAGAAGTTGTACTGTAACATGGACTGCCAGCAGTCTGGGATAGCTTCATTGGGACCACTTCTACTTGCTCTTTAGATCCTCATGAGGACACTAATCTCTGCCCCTTACCCTCTGTTTCCCCCAGTGCTTTGTTGGTTCTTAAACATTTTGTCTTGGCCGTGTTGAGTGGAGCAGCTTTAAATTCCTCTTCCTGACCTTTTCCACAGTGATAGCTCTTCCTTGCAGGCCAAGGTCTTGATATGGATTTTGTGGCACTTACCAAGTATGTCTTTTCTGATTATACATTTGGTGTCTGAGAGATCATCACCAGTTGGGTCTGTGGTCCCAATTAGGAACTGAACCTTGGCCCGGCCTCCATTTATTACTGCCCCCATATGCCTCTGGCTTAGTTATATATCAGCCTTTTCTCTTGTCACCCCTGGCCCTCAGAGGAGACTGCCGATGAACTTTTTAATAATGTTAATGTCTTCTCACCAACATATTTCTTATGATTTTGGGTCTTCCTGTGGAACGTAATCATCTTATGGGTTTTCTGGCTTTATACTTATATAGTATATACGTTCCAGAATGCCGACGTCTCTGAGCCTTGTAATCTCCTCTTCTGCCATCTGCCACGATGTTTCTGGCATCTCAGCTATATGTAGTATGAGCCATTAGCTTGTCCATGTATCTAAGAACTATCCTAGTAGTGAGTTTGTCCCATCTCCTGTGATTCTTGCTGGTTGTTAAATCCTGCATCTCAGGAGAGGACCTGTAAATCAATACTCTCTCCCTTATCTATATCTAGCCTTTTTGATCAAACACCCTCAGAAGAGTTAATTCTACTCACTATCCTGGCTAATACAAACTATTTAGATCTTGCAGATCCTTTGGGGTAAAGTCCTTTTTTCCTTTATTAGCCCTAGTATGTTTCAGTTGAGTTCTCTTGCAACATAACCCTAGTTATAGGTTTGGGGGCCTGGAGGAGAGGCAGGGGTAGATGAGCGTTGGAGAGCATATTTTCTCTTATGGGAAGCTATCCTCATCACTCCCAAGGAGGTGCAGGCTGCTTTTGTGGGGTCAGAAAGGTCTGTGGAATGTAGGGATTTAAGATTTCAGAAGACATCAGACCTGACGTCCCATTCCATGTGGTAGGTTCCCATTCTTTTCCAGCTAGAATCCTGACTCAGCTGATCAGTTTTACTTGAGAGTTTTGGAGCTTGACTACTCTGATGATTAAGTCCTGTTCCTGACATTAGCTTTCTCTGTCTGGGAACTACAGAATCTGAGACCGTTTTTGTTTCTGGCTTTCATGTTGGCAGTTACTTGCCTTCAGCTTTTTGTGACCTTTTCCCATTATCTTTATAACTGCTATTTCTTCCATATTTCTCAGACATCTGATATACATTCCAGCTAACGTATTCCCTTCCGTTGGTATAGCACTCAAACCTGCCTCTGGTGTGTTTTTGTCGTTGGCCTGCTGCCTTGTGCGAGGGTTTTGTTCCTCTGTGCTTCATCCATTGCCAGTGGGGGGGGCCTCTTTGCACCCTGGCAGTGAGGGATCCCCCCCCCACAGCTCCGTCTTAGCACCTTGTCTTCCCAGACCGCTCTTCGTACCAGCTGTCATGGATTAGGTTGCCTGGGAGACG